CATTATAAAATTAGTGGCTCATGTTTTTGTTAGGAAAATTAGGTAGGAAAAATATTTTCGGTGTGACGCAGTTGGTCTGAAGAACTATAAGGTCTATAAAACACCCCCATGTATGAACACCGGCTGTAGGAGGCCCAGCGAGCAAAACGAGACCCTCTGTGAAGACACTGCAGTACTTTTTACCGTGCGCAGGTTCCCCTGTTCTCCCTGCAGTGGACGCACAGCCGGTTAGTGGTGCATTCACAGGCCCTGCTGCAGCAGCTCGTGAGCTCCCGTACGTCTCCGCGAGGCAGTACCCAGAGCAGAGCGCGCCGGGCGCCCCCGCGGAGCTGTCACCGTCACGGCACCCCGTCCAAGCACTGCCAGGAGGACTGGGAACGTCCTGGAGCTTCCTTCAACTCTGCACCTATGCGAACCATCCACCACCCCCCGGCTGACAGCTCACTTAACCAGGAATTTATGGTACTGCTGTAGGGGAGTTATCAGATACCCCTCATATAGCTTCCAGGTCACACTCACTTAAGCAATGATAAACGAGCACCAAACACTGTGAGCACAAAACAAGACCATAAATACCCAATTTTTAGTTAAAGAAACTTCAGGGAACTGCAGCATCTTGTAATTTCCAACATTTTATGCATGCTTTCACTCCTGTCAAAAATGTGCTGTGTAATAGTGAAGAGAGGCTTTAGGTAGACTTTGATTTATTCATTTAAAACAGCCATCCATCCAGAGCAAATATTGCAACATTCTCCTCCGGATTATGCAGGAATACATTGCCAAACCCTAAGGATTTATAGCAGCTCGGTCCTACATCCACTGGAGAGCAAGTGGAAACCGCTTGGACCGTGAACACCACAAGTTGTGGATCTGAGGGCTGAGCCCTGGGACGGCCGAGGCCGTCGAGCTCTGCCAGGGCGTTTGCACGCAGAGGAAGGGGCCATAAGCGCAGCAGGAACAAGGCAGCAGCCCCGGGCAGCACCTCCTGCTCCTTCCGAGGTGCACCGAGGAGTTTTCACTGGAACTACCTTGAGGCTGTTTTTATCATTCTGGTTTGTATGATATTTGCATATGCAAACCAATATTGCTTCAGGTCCACGTTGGCTGAGGACAACTTAGGAAAAAAAACAGCATCCAACTGCTCATGGTAGTTGAGATCTGTATTTTAAGCTGCTGCTTTGGTTCATCAGCTCCCACATAAGCAAACACTATTCTTTCCAGCATTGCAAGTAGTTGGGATGCTGCTGCTTACAGACTGCATTTTCTTTCCTTGTTCTGCTACAGCACCTAAAAATTGACTCTTTTTTCCCTGCTTTTTTTCCCTCTCCTTCTTTCAAAGTAGAGAGGAAAACTGTGCATTTGGCAAAGCTCAGACTATAAACAGTAGATTTTCACTTTATACTCAAGAAATTTGAGGTTGTGTATGAAAACTGTAAGTTTTGGAATAACACAAAATGCTAGACCCACCAGAAGAAAATCTAAGCTTTGTTACAACACTGTTGTACTATAAGTCTTAAGTTATTTATTATTAGCACTACAAACAGTAATAAAGTTCAGATATATCTAAATGCTCAGGAGCAACCAGAAATTACATTTTCTCCTTTCTGTAATGCTCAAAAACATACTCTGTATTAGTTTAACGTTGGCTTTTTGAAAAATAGTTTACAGCCTTCCATTGAAGAGGACATCTACTTTTAAAAACCCTGCAAACGTTTACACATGTTATTATTTATACATTTTTAGGCTTTTGTTCACTTTTATACTTTATTTTGTTTTGTTTTGTTTCCTTCACAAAGCTCAAAGAATAGTCAATTGACCACTTTCCAAAGACAAATGAAGAATTTAATAGCAAAAAGTCTGCATTTTTGCCCCATACATTTAAGCTTATGAACTCTCATATTCATGTTCACACCTTCTCAGTTGATTTGCCCTTAAAACTTACAGTAGTTACTTCTCATTTACATAGCTACAGTCTCGCTCAACTCCTAAAATATTATGCAATAAGAACAAGATTACCTAGCTATCATATTTTATGTAGCAAACAATTTTTATTATTAAATCTACTACTAGAACTTACTACTTAGTGTTGTGCAGTCAAGTGTGCTGAAATTTATATCCTGTAAAGCAAATTAAGAGAATAAATAAAAGCAGGCTCTATTGCTTGTCAGAATTTTTTAATTGTATTCCTATAAAATCATGTAAACATTAGCATACAGATCCAGAAAAATCAATATAATATAATGATGCATAAACTGTAGGTTTAAAAGAATGTCAACACTTCAACAGTTTATAAATTAATATATACAGTCATGGGTACTCATCATTAGATAAGAACATCTCATAACTAACACCTCAACTGAGGAATTTCGGTGCAAGAGCTGTCAAACAGAGAGGTGCTGCTCTCGCACCAAACGTGATCATGAGGCAACACTGCAATCTAAATAACTGCCCAGCCTTGCTTCATATTAAGCATTCAGTTTAGCTGCTAAAAGAAATATAAAACAATAGTTTTGGTAGAAGTTTATTTGAAATCATATAGCAAAGTTCTCTAATGTAATAAAAGCAAAAGAAGAGACTATTCCATAAACAGGTTTCTAGAAGAATGAAACTGAAGTTTACTCAGGTGCACAGAGAGGCCATTGGCAGCTCCTTTTCACACCGTTTCCTGAAGAGCACCAAAATAACATCTCTAGCTAAAGAAAACATTTCAGGTAGTTTAGAAACAGAGGGTGAAAGTTGGATGAAGAAATAACTAAGATACAGAGCAGAGATCAGACTGATCCAAAATTCCTGCTTCCGCGTTGATGCGGCATTCTGGGCAGTTCCGTTAAAGTGACAGGAATCTAACACTGTTGCTAAAATCTTAACTCTTACCTTCCTTTTAGCCCATCCCAACAACCATACTTCACAGGTAAACCTACGGGAAACATATCCTAAAGAGTGATCCTCAGGTATCAGTGAAATTACAGACTACATACGATCACTAGGATTATCCTGGAAATACTTGATACTACAAAAGATCTCTTAATACACCACAATACGATCTTGAGAGACTCTTTTCAGAGTTAAATGTATTTTTCCATTTCTAGAGCCAATGTAGAATTTCATGCCATCTTATTTGGTATATTTTTCATACACAAAAATCCACCCCCCCCAGTGATGAAAATAAATATTGCACTAAGATGTTGTTATTTACAAGAAACGGGAGGTCATATCTAGCCACCTAAAGCTTTTTATCCTATCTTCTTCCAGTTGTTCAGGAACAAATTCTGTTTATTTTTTTCTTTATAGGAATTCCTGAGCAGTAAGGTGAATGAGGTTTGGCAAACAGCACCGTTTTTCCATTGCTTTTCTCAATTAGCAGGGTATGTTTATCATTAGCACTGTACCTAGGAACACTATCATAGCTGAACTAAGCACCCAAATAAGAGCTTATCCTAAACAGTGTTGTTATTCCTGTTGCCAGAATCTGAGCTAATGCTGGAAAACTAGGAGCAGGAGAAACAATCTTGCTCACTCTGAGGACAGAAGTCATGCATAAAGTAAAGGACCTGAAATCCTGTCCCAATTTTTTCTTTGCTTTGTTATAAGGGATGCAGGTGGAGGAAACTACAGCTCATAGGAATGATAGGAAGAAACTGCTCACGCTGTTGTGTCACCTTCCAAGCAACATGTTTCCAAGCTGCCCACGGCAGCATTAACACGACGGCATCGCACTCTGAAGCACTTAAACAACCCAGACTCTTCACTGTCCGTTCCACCAGAGCAGCTCCAGCAGGGAACACGTTACTGCCAGTCAGAATCCCAACAGCTTCCAGCATTTAATTACGTCATATTCCAGGCTTGGAGAGATTCTATCAGGCACGAACCCAAAAGCTTTGCTGACACCAGAACCGTAGCTCAGGGCATCTCCTGCAGCTGGTTTGTGCTGCACTGCTAAACTGGGTAGAACAGCAATGACAGACCAGACAGACAGGAAACAAACAAACAAAAAACACACACAGATGAGGCAAACCTTAGCAATTTGGGCTTCAACTGGGGATCAACTAATGAGGAGACAAACCTTGCACTGGACTGGCCCTGTATGTAGGCCTAGAAAAGTTTCATCACTGATGTACCTGAAGTTCTGTGTAAACTATCAATTTGTCTTTAATGTACTGCAGCAACATTCATTTGGTATTCACACAGCTCGTAATAGCTCTCTCTTGTTGTTTTTTCCCCCCCAAACATCTTTTGACCTCTTTTCCTTGTTGCCTTTCCCATGTCTAAAAGCTCCAAACAAAAGAGCTCTTTTTTCGCTCCCCCCTCTTATCTGTAGCCTGAGGACATTCCTCCCACTGAGATATATTCCCATTTCCTGACCCAAGCCATTCCAGCTACATCTCCATCTTATGCTTCTACATATATTTCAATAAGGAAGGGCTGATATGAGAATATAAACACAATTAGCAGACCTTAACTCAAATGATATTGCCAACAGCAGTGAACCTTGCCTATCTAGCCATTTTAAATTAAATGAATGAAAAAGTTGATAAAACCAAAATATGGTGGCAATCCTAATGAAGTAAAAAAATAACACTACTGTCAGTAAGAACAATTGTAACTGTTCTTCCCTCTACAATCATCCCAGGAGTTATGTGGCTCTTAGTACTCCCTTAAGATTATGTAAGAAATCTAGGTAAGGTAGCTCAAAAATAAATGCAGAAGAACACAGGAAAATATTTTGACATTTTCCAGTAATTTCTTGACTGAAATGCAAGTGTATTAAAATGCCCTGCTGGCATAATAACAAGGCATAACGCAACCAGGATTTACCAAATAAATCCTTCTATATGCATATGAACCAGGTTTTCATGTATCAAACAAAAATAATCTCTCTCAAAGGTTGATTTTTGTTTGGATGATGTACGTAGTACTACCAATGCAATCAATATATATAAAGACAATTCACAAACAATTCAAAAAAAATATACCAGTGGGAGGAGAACAACATACTCATTTTAATCCTCAAAGTACACTCCTTTTTCTTCGTCACCATCATCATCATCATCAGTAGAATCTGCATAGGACTCAACGGTGCTATAGATGAAAGAGTACAGCTTGACTTCTGGTCCTGAAGCGGAACAGCTTCTGCACTCTTCATTGTAATATCTCAGTAACAGCCGATAAACATCGCCTTCAAAATGAGAAGAAAAACATCTCTTTAAAACGCGAGCTCATACCCACTGGGGGCTGCGGCCTGCGCGGGGTGGCGGGGAACATCCCTCCCGAGGAGGGTGCAGGGGAGCTGCACGGCTCTGCGGGGGGCTCCCTCAGCCTCCTGCTCAGCTCTCTGCACCACCTGGGCACTGCCTTGCACACATGCCCCTTCCTCAGGCCTTACCTATGTCCTTTTGCTAGTTTTTATTGCAGAAGTTAAGGTCGCTGTAACATTTACAGCGGGGCAACGGATAGGCAGCTTTTTCTGTATTGCTACTGGATAACAGTTCTAGCTACTAATTCACCTTGTAGAATCAAGCCAAAACCATTATGAAACAAATCTATATCAAGAGTGTGTAAGTAGAACTTCATTTAAAAAATACATTTCAAACAAAACTAGATTATACTGTCTTTGTAAGTCTTCTCTTGACCACATATATCCAGATTTTCCAAGCTCTGGGGCATGATTCCCAAAGGCCAACTGAGAAGTGTTAATCTGTTTTAAGGATTCAGAAAGTCTTTCCACAAATTAATGCTTCTCAGTTGGCCCTGAATCAGAACAGTTCCTCACTTTGGAAACAGGTGCAAATAAACTAAGAAAAATTTGCTTTGGTTCCAGACTTGATGACAATAGTTCTCACTGGGCAATTTCCACTTAACGAAGGATAAATCTCTCTGCTCCAGGAAAAGATTTCCTTATGCTTACCGACAGTTTGGCCCTTCTCACAGAGAAAAGCGTGCACGCTGTAAATGTCTCTCATCAGCTCCACATCCCCAAAGGTAAAATAAACAACATCACGCCCAGCCTCGGCAGCTGCCAGTATCTGTATTAAGGCTGAAACAGAAAAGAGATTACACAGGTGAATATAGGATTCTGCTGGAGTCACAGGAGACAACCACCTTGCACATCTGCCTGCAGAAACACCTTGAAAATCAAGGTTTTTTTCTCCCAGGCAGCACTGGCTGGCCAAGCACATTGGCTATGCAATGAGCAGGTGCTATAGCACAAGAAAACACAGAGCACCCTTTTACATCCTGTTTTAAGGTATTTAGAATGAGTCACAGCAAGAAAGGGGTAAAGAGCCACCATCAGCATGGGGCAATTTCCAGTCCCTACCACCCTTCAGAAGAAATGGAGCATCCCCTTTTACTGCGTAAGCAGCACAGACTGTGCCTCACTTCTGTCTCCCAGGAGGAAATCTAAGATGCTGCAGCATCTTATAGCACAGTGCAAGGTCTTCATCTAATCTATAATCCAAGTATGCAGCATGTAATATGATAGCTCACTGGGGCCCATAACAAGTGGCTCATGGTGTCACACGAATGCAATTCAGGTGCTTTAATTTCCAGCTTTCTTTCAAAGCCACTGGGCCAAGCTGCATCCCATGCTCTGGTGATAGGTGACATCACAAAATTGACTTAGACTCTGTTTTTCTATATGGAAGAGAAAGAAGAATGTGCCGTATCTCAGAAATAGATTTTTTTTAAGATTTATGATGCGACACGGTCTAGGGTACTGATGGAGGAGGGAGTTGAGCCAAAGTAATGACTCACAGCAACTAGAGGGGACAGCTCGGGCCCTCTGGCATGCTCCCCTTCCCCACCTACCTCCTACCTATTTTGCAGCATCTCAGATACTCAGACATCTCTGCTGCCAGCTTAGTAAATGGCTTGGCAAGTTATACAACAGGGAAATAAAGGTGATTTCTGCTACTTTAGCAGTGGAACTGGCAGATGGAGGGGTTTGCAAGAGTCAGTGCCCAGGAGGCACCAGAGCCCAGAGGAAGGGTGGGGGAAAGGGAAGCCAAGACCCTGGGTAGGGGGCACCAAGCTGTTATAAGAGCCCAGCTCCTTTGCCGACCTCCAAGTCGATCTTACTGTAAGAGGGGAGTGCGACCCGCAAACACAATCAATCACATTGACTGCAGATAGTGTTACGACAATCCAAATAAAGGGTCCCTATCAACTATTTAATCTACTAGAGCTTGTCTGGTTTCAGATTATATGGACACATTTTCAATACTGTGCAATGACAATATTAATCACATGCTAACTTTACTTACTGGGCAGAAAAGGAAAAATGATCATTTTAAATAAAACAGAAAGCATATTGCGTACTACCTGCTAGTGGAATTTAAATAGGAAGCTGCTCATAGCTTAGCTCACATTTTTAAAGAGACCTAGTGAAATATTGCAGTCTTTAATGAAAAAACTCTTGTAAACCCATAGCTAAAGTTATAAATTACATGATTCACATGTGAAATTAATCTCAATCTGGGAATGATATTTTAATTAAACTACTGAACCAGTTGTGGATTTGGTAAAGCTTCAGTAGTTCAGTTTTTAAAGGGCCTAATTAACTAGCTTGCATAGGGGAACAGAATCTAATGAGCGATCATACTCACTCCAAACAAACACCACTGCTTTGCCACACACCAAAAGCACTACAAAAACCCTACTGCTTATTCCGACTAGCTCTAAAACGTCATTAAAGGAGGGCCAAGCAGTTTTGGCAAGAATCAGCTTCACCGTCGCGCGGGCATTAGCGAGAGGCAGTGTCCCCGCAGGGAACGCCAAGAGCAGCGATTCGGCTGCGCGGAACCTCCTCGTAGCCCTTGCAAGTCAAGTCCAGGCGTTTCCAAGATGCCTCACTTCACATGGTCTCTGCACGTTATACAGTAAAACTACCCTCTTTTCATCATTAGACAATTAAACATACCCTCTGCATCTGCAAACCGTTCACCTATCCCCTGCAATACACTGTTTAGCCATGAACACTTTTTCCCTTGGGTTAAGTGGAACTGGGGTATTTTAGTTTTCTAAAGTATCTCCAGAAAGGAAAGATTCGTGATGCCCTATAAATTGCAAAAGACTTTTCTCCACTGTAAAAGATTTGGCCATAGTGAAGGGAACCACTGAGAAAATTTGCAGTTCAAAATGACCCTTTGCAATATTTAAGGACGGAAGAGATAAACACCTTTGGCACTTCGGACGATGTAGAAAAGCCTTCATTTGGTTATCTCATATATATATATATATATATATATATATATAAATGTTTTCAGAACAGCAGCAGTGCTGTAACTTGCTTTTAAATGTTAATTCTGGCAAACATTGGAAAAAACAAAGTTGATTCAAAACTGAAGGAAAACAATGAATGAAAGGTTAAAGTAAGATATAAGCTAAAATAAAACAGAATGTTATAAATACGTAACAGGCACTTTTATCAAGGTTCTTGGGCAGGGTTCACACCTAATCTATGAAGCACTGCATGATTATGGCCCATTTCTTTGTCTACACCTACAGCTCTTCTTATGGGCTACCTCAACACACCCTGTCAGCTCTGTGGGTCTTTGTTAGTACCTCAGTTTTGAGCAATTCCTATTGTACAATTCACATTCACATTTTGAACAAATGGTAAGTTTTAAATAAGATAAACCATACTTTTAGCAGAAACCTATATGCTTAAAAAACATATACATAGGGTACTACATATCCAAGAACAGGTCTCCTGCAAATTAAAATGTTTATTAAACCTTCCTAATGTGAATCATTAATCAAATATGATCAGATCCTGCAATAAATACTGCTCCTGATATTGATGACACGAACTTGGCAATCTATTTTGTCTAATGGAAACCCAAAGACAGCTGTCTTGAAATCAATGAGCATTGAGAGAAAAATAGATTCTCAATGAATAAAACACGTTCAGAAAGAGAAATAATGAAGCTGGTAGCCTGAAAATCATTCATCTGAGAACATAACCACCTAAAGCTGTTGCGAAAAACAAATTTTAAATACTCTCCAAGGGTTTGACAGTAACCAAAATGTAAATTTCTACTTACAATTATATAAATCAGCATATGGATTTAAGTGTCAGGATCCGTCACTCCTTAACTTGATGGGAAAAGAGCCCGAAATGAATGCAGGCATGCAATACCTGCTGCACTATAAATATTCTAATTAAAGAAAGGACATGGAAAGCAGGGGCTAGTGGCTGAATCCAGAGGGAGCAACGTCTCCAAGTGCCTGTGGGGCAGCTTGCAGCTAGGAACTAAGCAGCAAGACTGAACATTAAGCATTGCAAGGGGGCTTGGGAAAGCCTGCCAGCTACCAGACCCTTAGTTAAAGCAGCTTTGCAGAGATGAAAATATGTTATGTTTCATCTAAGAGATTTGCCCAGAAAGCAAAAAGATTTGTATGACTGATGATCACAATGATTATGTTCCTTTGTGAATTAATTTTGCAGATACATGGTTTTGAAGTTTTCAGGGTTACGGGTCCCTGTAAACAAAGCATTTCCTACCTACTACCTACCTTAAACTTTCAGCTACAAATGGCATGTAAAAGTGGTAAGCCTTTTATTAAGGTCACAGCCTACAGATGGGGGTTAATGAACCAGTTCTATAGATAGTTAAATTCTTGTTCCAATTCTTGCCTAAAATTTAATAACCGTAAATGAGAAAAGGCCTGTTGACCAAAACGCGAGCTCCTTGGTTGGCACGAGCATTCCCGTGCTTACCTTTCAGCCGGGAG